ACCAACATTGATATGCACATTACTTTTGGGCTGTTGTTTCATAAAAGAACGCTTACCACGTGAAAATTCAAAATGGCGGTAATTTTCCAAGATTGTGGCCTTTTGCGGGCTCTTTGGTATATATTTGTGCCCCTGTGGTTCATTCCCATTGTCATACAAGCACCAAAATTGGCATGCACATTACTTTTTAGTTATTTCATAAAAGATTGCCACCCATGTGAAAAACCAAAATGGCCGCCACGGCCATTCGCAGACTGTATGGTGCATCTATGGTTCTTCTTATCCAGTTTTTAGGATACCAAATCCGTTCCTCACATTTTTGACAATTGAGAATTAAAATCTGACAAAAGGAACGAAAAGTCACCAAACACTGGTTTTGCTGATTTTTACAGATATTTAACAAGGTTTTACATTGTGTAATATGACAATGGAAATGAGTAAATAGTAAGCTAAGCAAAGTACAGTATGGTAATTTTGCATGTAAAATCATTTTGTTTGACATTCCACCAGCGGAGATTGATCTGGGGGTGAGTGAAGAAAAGCCCAGTTTAGAGGAGATGAAGGAGGCAATAAGACACCAGAAAGCAGGCAAGGCGGCCGGCCCATATGGAATTCCCCCAGTTTTCAAGGTGGATATCGACACTGCGGCAGGGATTCTTCATGGAATTGTTGGCAAAATATGGGACGGCAAAGAATTTCCACAGGATTGGAGAGAAGGATTGTTTGTGAAACTACTTAAGAAAGGAGACCTGCATGACTGTAAAAACTACAGAGGAGTCATGCTCCTGTCCATTCCTGTGAAGATTTTATGTCATGCCATACTGGAAACACTGAAGGAAACCGTGGATGTAAAACTAAGAGAGGAGCAGGCAGGATTTCATAAAAAGAGATCATGTACATATCAGATTGCAACTTTGAGAATAATAGTGGAGCAGTCCACAGAGTGAAACTCTTCCCTGTACGTTAACTTTGTTGACCACGAGAAAGCTTTTGACGGCCTAGATAGGGACTCAATATGGAAGCTCATGCGCCGCTACAGAATACCTGACAAGTTCGGGAGATTGATCAAGAAGATGTATGAGGGAGTGAGTTGCAGTGTCTTACTTGGAGGGCAGCGCACAGACTCATTTGAAGGGAAAACAGGAGTGAGACAGGGATGCCTGCTATTGCCTTTTCTCTTTTAATTAGCAGTGGATTGGATAATGAGACAGACAACATCAGGACAATTAGATGGCATTTGGTGGACCCTTTCCAGTCAGTTGGAAGATTTGGACTTTGCCGACGACTTGGCTCTTTTTACTCACAGTTGAGCCCAGATGCAACAGAAGACAGACCTAAGGACCCTCTCCCGTAGTGTTGGACTCCATATTCACACGGATGAAATAAAACTTCTTCGAATGAATGCAGCCGACGTTCCTATCACACTGCAAGGGGCACCATTGGCCGATGTTGAATCCTTCACCTACCTGGGAAGTGTCATCAACAAGGCAGGGGGAACAGACGAAGACATCAACGTCAGAATCCAAAAGGCAAGAGCAGCATTCATCATCCTCAGAAATAGATAGATGTCTAAGGAATTGGGATTGAACACCAAGCTGAGGATCTTCAAAATAAACGTGAAGACTGTTTTTCTGTATGGCTCACAGCCTCAGCAGCAAGGAAACTGCAGACCTTCATAAATGAATGTCTAAGAAGGATAGTGGGGGATCAGATGATACCATTTAGTCACAAATGCTCCACTGTGGGAAAGATCAAGCCAAAGGCCAATTAAGGAAGACATACAGGTGAAGAAATGGAAATGAATTGGCCACACCCTGGGGAGATCCCCGACAAGCATCATCAGACAGTCTTTGACGTGGAATCCACAAGAAAAACGTAAGAAAGCTAGACCAAAGATGACATGGAGGCAAGTGGTGCAAGCCGAAATGAAAAAGGAGGGGACATCATGGAAACAGCTAGAAAAGGATGCACAGGACAGGCTTTGTTGGAGAAATGCTCTTCATGGCCTATGCTCCACTGGGAGTTAAAAAGGGCAAGAGAGAAGAGAGAGAGAGAAACAGAGAGAGAGAGAGAGAGAGAGAGAGAGAGAGAGAGAGAGAGAGAGAGAGAGAGAGAGAGAGAGAGAGAGAGAGAGAGAGATGGTTCTTCTTATCCAGTTTTTTAGGATACCACAAACGTTTCTGACATTTTTGACAATTGAGAATTAGAATCTGACTAAAGGACGTCTTTAAAATGAATGAAAGCCACGAAATACTGTTTTTTTGTTGACTTTTACAGATATTTGACGAGATGTTACATTGTGTAATATGACAATGGAAATGAGTAAGTAGTAAGCTAAGCAAAGTACAGTATGGTAAATCTGCGTGTAAAATCATTATCATGACCAGCTGAGCATTAATCACATTGCTGTTCAGCTCAAACTGAACTTTTAGCACTTGCAACGTCCATGACACTGCGTCTTGCACTGGCATTTCGTAAGCTGCTGGCAGCTCTGAGAAATTGGTGGGAGCTCAGACCATAGGATACTCCAGCAGTCT